TCCTGCTACAGACAGAATCAATGATCTTGCTTACTAGTAGGGATTATGCTGGTTTCTGTACAATCTTTCTGCTGTAAAGCAACTTTGCTTGTTCTGGTACCTGTAAAGCCCAAATGTTTTGCTTTGCCTGCCTGTCCCATACATACTTCCCTCTTGTTTGACACAAGGCTAACACGTGGAGTTGGGCTATTAAAACACAACTGGATGGCATGACAATACCTGCTCTTCCTGCTTTCATTTTTGACTAACATCAGTCATGCACTAATACTGCTGCTTCCATCTGTCAAGAAGTGCTTAATTTGCCTAGGTCTGCACTACATAAGTGACAGCAAAATGACTGCACTGCAGGAGTTGTTTAAGATTCAAAGAGCAAAGCTCTTAGGTATAGAGTTAAAAAAAAAAAAGGAAAGTACATTTAATTTGGCTCTTCTGTGTTTCTCAGCAGTTAAATAACATGTATTAGGCATCACCTAGAATATGTTTAGCTTGCACGATACTCTTTTTATTTAGAGAAAAAGATATTTATAAACTGTTATATCCATTCAGTTGTCTTAGTCTATGGACCTTCTATTAGCAGTGGGCCACCAAATTTAATCTTCCAAAACACAGGTGGAGATGAATTGTCCAGGAGATAGTATTTCTCAAGAAATGCTTCACTGAAGGTAAATCTTGGAGAATCACTGTGGTAAAATGTTTTCATCATTCTAGTGTGCCTCTTGTATCATTACACTTGAACCAATTGAATAATCTTGGGAACAGAGACTGTCTGTCTGTAAGGGGCAAAACAGCTTTTGTTACACACAGTTAATCAAAAGAATAGTCTACACATATGGACAACAGAGTCCAAAATAGAGCAATGGATCCCAGTACCTTGTAGACGTTGTGAGTTAAGATTTAAAAACAACTTTAAAATGCACTGAAGGGTACATTTTAATGCACTTTAGATGATTGATTATGAAAAATCCAGCCTACTGCTTCTACAAGTTAAAGTCCATTTCTACATCTCTTTCTGTGTACTCTTAAGTCAACCTTTTTATTATCTGTGCAAGTTTGGTACAGTGTATTCTGTAAATCAGAACAGTTTATAAAATAAAACTAGACTGTGTTTAACATTCCAGTCTGTGTTTTTAGAATAGATACAGATGTACATTATATAGTTGCATATCTATATATACATACACATATTTTGAAATGTTCCTACTGTTCTCTTTCTGACAATTAACTATAACGCATACCTATTATGCTCTGTCTTTTGAGTACGGGAAAGTATTGGGTTTTTAGAATTGTATTAAGCTTGTAGAAACAAGAACTTTCAAAATTCTTCAAGATTCAAGTTTTTTCACAGGTAACATTGCTAAAGCAAGGTGATAGTGTCTGTAAAGCTAAAACATGTCCTTCAGAAAGAAAACACTATTTTAGTTTTTCAGTACTGTAACTGTTAGGGATGATGACTTCAGCTTTATTTACCAACTGTTCTTTTTGTTTTAAATGAAGATTGAGAGACACTACTGGCACTTCTTGGGTACAGAAATACTTTGTGTCATGAAGAACTCTTTTTAAAGAAAAACCTGTCATTTTAATTTTATTGATGGAAAGCTGAAGCAATAGTCAGTTAACATCTGGTCTTTTAGCTACTTCTGTTTTCTGAGCAGCAGTGCTGAGGCAAGTATGATCAGGTGGCTTGCAACATTCTGGCCTCCTGACATCAATATTAAGCCATGAAATATTGCTGTATGCCTGAACTGGTTCTGAGTACACTGGCCTGTGAGCCCCATTCTGTATCTGTAAACACAGTGAACATTATTGAGATAGATGAGCTCCTACCTTCCTTTGGGAGCACGGTGTAGGTTGCCTCCATGCCCGCGTGGATGTGGTCAGTAACGTGACAGTGTAATAGCCAGGTTCCAGGGTTCTGCGGGGTCATTTCCACAGTTTGAAACGTCCCAGGGAACAGATCAAAGACATCTGCCCGGTAAACCCCTGTTTGCTTCAGGACAAAAAGAAACAGTGGTTGAACAGTGTGGCATTACCAGATGGTAGTAATTCTAAGCTACCTTTCATGCATATTACCACCAAACGTTTTAATCACAGTTGAGTGAAAAGACATCTATTGTATGTTATTTCTACAGAAGCATCACTTTGTACATCCACTTCATGCTTAAAAGATTAATAGACTAGCAACTAAGTGGAAATGAAGGAAAACTATAGCTGCTGTCTTACTGCAGCCATGAAAATTCACAGCTACCTTGTCAAAGCAACTTGTGAGCTTAACCAGTCAGCAAATGCTACTGGCAGATATTCTCTGTCTCTTGTCTGTTGAGCAAATACAGGATTGGGGCATAATACCTTTATGGTCAAATTACAAGTCCTCCTTAATATTGTAACATCTGACTTTTACACCAGAGATTACAGGCCCTGGTATTTGATCTACCTCTCATTCTTAATATAGCAAGAAATGTGTGGAGAGGCTCTGTTACCTTATACTCAAAGCTGTGGCCATGGAAGTGTGCTGTGTGAATGTCTATTTCAGTGCCCATTCCCATCAAATACCAGCTCACTTTATCGCCAACATGCATAGTCAGACCATGTAAATTTCCAAACACCTTCCCATTAATGGCTAAAAAGAAGGAAAGAGCAAGACACAGAAAACTAATAAGATTTGGTGTATTGTTATTCTCTAAACTTCAATAGAATACAAGATTTGGAAGCCAATGCCAGGCAAAAGTAATGGCTTTGAATGTTATCTAAACCCAAAAGAATTGGCCAGCATATTATGAATAGGTCTGATTATATTCCATATTTAAGTAGAAAGTAAGATGTAGTTTAAAAAAAGTTCTTTACATTATTGTTTATATTGCAGTTCTTAAAGATCTGCATTTCCTGCAGCTCTTTGTAAAGGGTAATCTTTACCAGGACATGCTTTCAGGATGTGCATTGCCTTTCCAACTTATCCAGAACAGTTGTTTGCTGACATAAAATCAAAATTTCAAAATTTCACTTTTTCTCAAAATTTCAATTTGGGACCATTTTTCCATAGGTTAAAAAAAAAAAGCCATTCAGTGGCATTAACTGGTTTCAAGTAGTTTGAGTGAAATTTTTCAGGCCTTCTGCCCTGGAACTGGAAATTTAGAGGGGATAACAAAGCCAAATTTATATACAGTACTTTCAAATACATAACTTTATAATGTTTCCAAAGTTACATTAACCAAATTGGGAAACATACCATGCATTTTATTACTTTCAATGAATTCCTCATCCTCTTTGTCAACAAGGTGGGGGTTAGTAGAATATGTTTTAATGTTGTCATCCAAGTACCATGACTCATTTTCATCAAAAACCATAAAAAGAAGAGCAAATTGAACTTTCTTTTTAGTATGAAATGATGGCAGATAATGTCTGTGACACACAACAAGTGTGCCTATTAATCCACTGTAAGTGTCCTGAAATCACAAAAAAAAAAACCAAAAAAACCAACATATAATTATGAGATGTGACTAAGCAGAAGCACTGTTAATGCCAGACATGAATCCTCTTACTATTTTTACAGCCATCAGTATCTGGGAATAAAGGTAGCCAGTGTCAGACAAACAAGGTTATTTCTTCACTGTTACATGCTACCCACGAATCAAGTTCAATGGACTATGAAGAGTAACTGTCTTTTTTTCATCTCTTGCTAGAAATAAGCAAGAAATTAAAATGGAATAAATTTTTATCTATTTTTTCCACAAATTCTTCTTAGGTTTTAGGATTTTGAGCTTGGTTTCTACTCAGAATAGACTTCTTGACACTTTTGTATTTGTGTTCACTGACATGAAGGAATGAATACATTAATTTCCATTGAAAATTGTAAGTCAAGTTAAGTCAATAGGTATTTGTACAAAAATGGCAGATTTATGTTCCACAGTTGCATGTTAGTTTTCCCACACAGGACTGATTAGATATTGAGCAAGCTATAAAGTGTTAGCTTTAAGAATGAAATCTAAGCGAGGTGATCTGTACCAACAGCAGAA